TTTCCCTCACACACACAGTCTCTCTCACATTCACTCATACACAAACACACACACACACACACACATATGTTGTCCATAGACATGTTTTTATACAGTTTGTACAGTATAAACTGTATATTCTGTCCCCTAAACACAACCCTCACCAAAAACAATCTACATTTTTAGTTGTTTTCTCTCTCTCTCACACACACACAGTTTTAAGTAGATCCGATCAGGACACACCCTTGTATTGTAAAAGCATCACATGACTAATAGCTCCGACTCAAATAGCGAAACTCTGTTCAGCTCACGGCAGAAACCCGCGACGCCTCCGCGTTCACATCTCCAACTCTAATCATTAACTCACACCAGACCAGCAGCTTACAAACTCTTCAAACCACACGGCGGAGGAGGACGACGACGACGTCGAGTATAAAGAGGTGAGACGCCGCGATCTTCGTCATGAAGGAAACGCTCAAACGTTTCAAACCCAGCTCTGTGATTTTAAGATTCAACCTCATATGCGCTTTGTGAGTTTGATGATTAATGCTGGTGATAACGGCTCAGATAAGCAGGACTAAAGTCAACAAGTCCAAGAGTGAACGTCAAACACAGTGACTGACATCATGGAGCAGAACGACTGGAAATCACTGGAACCCACTCACGAGGTGAAGGTCTTCCTCACCGTTTTGTACTGTCTTATTCTCAGCCTCGGCATTGTGGGTAACAGCGTCACCATTCACGTCGCACAGGTGCTTCAGCGTAACGGATACCTGCAGAAAAACGTGACGGATCACATGGTTAGTTTGGCCTGCTCTGATTTGCTGGTGCTGTTGATCGGGATGCCGGTCGAGCTCTACAGCGCCATCTGGTTCCCGTTCTCGTCTTCGTCCGGCGACGCCGCCTGCAGGATCTACAACTTTTTGTTCGAGGCGTGCAGTTATGCCACCATTTTGAATGTGGCCACGTTGAGCTTTGAGCGTTACATGGCCATTTGCCATCCGTTCCGCTATAAAGCTTTGGGTGGAAGCCGTACGACCAAGCTCCTGTTGGTTGCGTGGCTTTGCTCGGCCCTCGTCGCTCTTCCACTTCTCATCGCAACAGGAACCGAAGGACACGTTCCCGAAGGACTCCGGACGCCGGTGCAAAACCTGACTTTCTGCACCAACCTGAGCAAGCACTGGGCCATGTATCGCACTAGCATCTTCACCGCGTTCGTGCTCTATCTTCTCGTCCTGGTTGGCGTCGCGCTCATGTGCAGAGCGATGATTGTCGTTCTTCGGGGCCCGATGGGGCCTAACGAATCCGGCACGAACGGAGCCGGACGGGACGTTCCCAAACACGAGAGCGCCCGTCTGAAAGCCTCACGAAAACAGTCCATCCTCTTCCTCGGTAAGACACCGTGACCTCTCTTCATTGTTTGTCTCACTGGCTTTATTTCAACAGCGCTTTATACAGTACAGATCAAAGGAAAAATAACAGAATCAATGACGCAAACTTCATCAAATATGAAGCAAATACAAATTCAGCTGTAATGAAGCTCTAAAAAGTGATTGTAATTTTTTGTGTAAAGGAGTAGTTCACTTTTAAAAAAACTTTTGCTGATAATTCACTCGCCCCCATGTCATCCAAGATGTCCATGTCTTTCTTTCTTCAGTGGAAAAGAAATTAAGGTTTTTGATGAAAACATTCCAGGATTTTTCTCCATATAATGGACTTCAATGGGGACCAAACGGTTCAAGGTCCAAATGAGAGTTTCAGTGCAGCTTCAAAGTGCTTTAAACGATTCCAGACGATGAATAAGGGTCTTATCATGCGGAACGATCGGTTAGTTCAAAACTTATTCCAAAAATTTAACTTTTCTAAGGACAAATGCTAGCCTTGCTCTATTCTGTGAGGCGCGTTTGTAACGTCATGTGATATGTAATTACGTTCAAAAGATCACGGGCGACGTAGCCGGAAGTACAGAGTCAGTGTTTACAAGTTGAACGTGCAAACTAACTCAAATGCCGTTTACAAAAAAAGGAATTAAAAGGTAAAACAACGATGTCGGACGATTTTGACTCTGTACTTCCGGCTACGTCGCCCGTGACCTTTTGAACGTAATTACGTATTACGTGACGTTACAAACGCGCCTCACAGAATAGAGCAAGGCTAGCATTTGTCCTTAGAAAAGTTACATTTTTGGAATAAGTTTTGAACTAAGCGATCGTTTCGCATGATAAGACCCTTATTCACCGTCTGGTGTCGTTTAAAGACATTTGAACAGTTTGCACTGAAACTGTCTTTTGGACCTTGAACCGTTTGGACCCCATTGAAGTCCATTATATGGAGAAAAATCCTGGAATGTTTTCATCAAAAACCTTAATTTCTTTTCCACTGAGGAAAGAAAGACATGGACATCTTGGATGACATGGGGGTGAGTGAATTATCAGCAAAAGTTTTTTCAAAAGTAAACTACACCTTTAACCTGACCTAACCTTACACAAACATCCACTGAGCTCATTCTCTCTGTCAATCAAGTCCACTGAGAGACTATGGGAAAAGTGACAGGAATTCAGACTCATTTTAGTGAGCCAGATCATTTGGTTCAGTTCAGCAATAAGAACGGCTCTTTCACTCCAATAAGAACGGCTCTTGATTTAAACCAGGCCCTAATAGCCATTTCCTTACAAAATGAGTGGTTATTCAACATGACATCATGACTTTTGCGTAAACATACACGCCACTTTCAAGTCAAGTGGCGTGTTATCTCTACACATTTTGAGCTATCCGCGACCGTATCCGCTTGTATGCATGTATGTCTACGCCATTAACGTCCGAGTGATTCCGCGTGTCTGTACACGCCGTCAAATGTCCGCGCGAAACGAAGCAAAATGTAGATCTACATCTGGGGAGCGAACTTTTTTTTCCTAGGATGGTGAGGGAACAGTCATAAATGCTATTAACCCCCGTGACGGTTAGGTTTAGGGACGGGGTTGAGGTAAGTTATATATTTATATATACAGTTCATAAACACGCTGAAAAGCGATTATGCGTCTTGATAGCACGCCAAAAATGGAAATACGAATTGGCGTGTCATACACACGCTACTTCATGAGATCAGTCTGCGCATACACGTGGATGCGCGCAGATAGCTCAAAATGCGTAGAGATAACACGCCACTTTCGAGTCAAGTGTTTACGCAAAAGTCATAATGTCATGTTGCAACAGCGCTTTATACAGTACAGATCAGAGGAATATAACAGAAGCAAACTTCATCAAATACAAATTCAGCTGTAAAGAAGCTCTAAAAAAAGTGTCTATTATATAGTGTCTTATCAGTGATTCTAATTTTAAAAGTTTTATCTTTAACCTGACCTAACCTTACACAAACATCCACTGAGCTCATTCTCTCTGTCAATCAAGTCCACTGAGAGACTATGGGAAAAGTGACAGGAATTCAGACTCATTTTTAGTGAGCCAGATCATTTGGTTCAGTTCAGCAATAAGAACGGCTCTTTCACTCCAATAAAAAAGGGCTCTTGATTTAAACCAGGCCCTAATAGCCATTTCCTTACAAAATGAGTGGTTATTAGACATTTTCGAGTGCTCTGGAGTAGGACTGAAAAGTTGCATCACAGTAAAGATCTTTGCAAACTCAAGGGAACCTTATTTGTAATTCTACATTTGTATTGTATCTGTTCTGGATCCTGACATGTTGATTCTCTCCTCCATGTCTGTGTACGCATCTGTTAGTGCTGATCGTCTGCGCTCTGTTCGTGTGCTGGATGCCAAACCAGATTCGCAGGCTGATGACAGCAGCGTTGCCCAAGTCATCGTGGACCACGAGCTACCTGAAACACTACGTGAAGCTGCATCTGGTGGCCGACAGCTTCTTCTATCTGAGCTCGGTGTTGAACCCGCTGCTGTATAACCTCTCCTCACGCCAGTTTCGCTCTGCGTTCTGGCAGACACTCCAGTGCCGTTTGTCTCTCGAGCACGTCAACAGAAGGACACTGGAAAGCAGTCGAGTCTCAAAGAGCTCCAGTAACACCATACGCCCCCTGCTGAGACGATCGCTAAACCGCATACGGACAGTCGCCAGCGACCGATCGACAACTCCATCGACAGAAGAGGGACAAAGTGCTCCGAACCCCACAGAGCGACAACCGGCCAGCTCTGAACCACAGGAGGAGGAGAGAACTCAAGCCACCACACTACCTGACACTAACTGATGAACAAACTAACTGTATAGAACTGAAGACTGCTGACCACTAAAGACTGCTTTACAGCATGCTGGTGACCACTGTAAATCACTATAGACCACTGTATATCACTGTAGACAACTGTAGGTCACTGTGAACCACTGTAGACGACTGCTGGTCACTGTAGACAACTGTAGACCACTGTATGTAGACCACTATATACGACTGTAGGTCACTATAGACCCCTGTAGACCACTGTAGGTCACTGTAGACGACTGTGGTCACTGTAGACCCCTGTAGAACATGTAGACCACTGTAGATCACTGTACACTCTAAAAAATGCTGGGTTGTTTTAACCCAACTTTGGGTCAAATATGGACTAACCCAGCCGTTGGGTTAAATTTTTACATTACATTTTTAACCCAACATTTCGGGTTTGTCCATATTTGACCCAAAATTGGGTTAAAACAACCCAGCATTTTTTAGAGTGTAGACACCTGTGGACCACTGTAGACGACTGCTGGTCACTGTAGACAACTGTAGACCACTGTATGTAGACCACTATATACGACTGTAGGTCACTATAGACCCCTGTAGACCACTGTAGGTCACTGTAGACGACTGTGGTCACTGTAGACCCCTGTAGAACATGTAGACCACTGTAGATCACTGTACACTCTAAAAAATGCTGGGTTGTTTTAACCCAACTTTGGGTCAAATATGGACTAACCCAGCCGTTGGGTTAAATTTTTACATTACATTTTTAACCCAACATTTCGGGTTTGTCCATATTTGACCCAAAATTGGGTTAAAACAACCCAGCATTTTTTAGAGTGTAGACACCTGTGGACCACTGTAGACCCCTGTAGAACATGTAGAGCACTATAGGTCACTGTAGACCACTGTAGGTCACTGTAGACCACTGTATGTAGACCACTATATACGACTGTAGACCCCTGTAGAACATGTAGACCATTGTAGGTCACTGTAGACGACTGTGGTCACTGTAGACCCCTGTAGACCACTGTGGTCACTGTGAACCACTGTAGATCACTGTAGACCCCTGTAGACCACTGTAGACCCCTGTAGATCACTTTAGACCCATGTAGACCCCTGTAGAACATGTAGAGCACTGTAGACCCTTGTAGACCACTGTAGGTCACTGTAGACTACTGTAGGTCACTATAGACTACTGTATGTAGACCACTGACTGTAGACGGCTGTAAGTCACTGTAGGTCACTGTAGACCACTGTAGATCATTGTAGGTCACTGTAGACCACTGACTGTAGACGGCTGTAAGTCACTGTAGGTCACTGTAGACCACTGTAGATCATTGTAGGTCACTGTAGACCACTGTATGCAGATCCCTGTAGACCACTGTAGACCACTGTAGACAACTGTAGAAGACTGTAGGTCACTGTGAACCATTGTAGGTCACTGTAGACCACTGTAGATCACTGTAGACCACTGTATGTAGACCACTGACTGTAGACGGCTGTAAGTCACTGTAGGTCACTGTAGACCACTGAAGATCATTGTAGGTCACTGTAGACCACTGTTTGTAGACGACTGTAAGTCACTGTAGACCACTAAAGATCATTGTAGGTGACTGTAGACCACTGACTGTAGACGGCTGTAAGTCACTGTAGGTCACTGTAGACCACTGAAGATCATTGTAGGTCACTGTAGACTACTGACTGTAGACGGCTGTAAGTCACTGTAGGTCACTGTAGATCATTGTAGGTCACTGTAGACCACTGTTTGTAGGTCACTGTAGACCACTGAAGATCATTGTAGGTCACTGTAGACTACTGACTGTAGACGGCTTTAAGTCACTGTAGGTCACTGTAGATCATTGTAGGTCACTGTAGACCACTGTTTGTAGATCCCTGTAGACCACTGTAGAGCCCTGTAGACCACTGTAGGTCACTGTAGACAACTGTAGGTCACTGTGAACCATTGTAGGTCTCTGTAGGTCACTGTAGACCACTGTATGTAGACCACTATATACGACTGTAGGTCACTATAGACCCCTGTAGACCACTGTAGGTCACTGTAGATGACTGTAGGTCACTATAGACCCCTGTAGACCACTGTGGTCACCGTGAACCACTGTAGATCACTGTAGACCCCTGTAGACCACTGTAGACCCCTGTAGATCACTGTAGACCCCTGTAGACCACTGTAGACCGCTGTAAAACATGTTGGTCACTGTAGACCCTTGTAGACAACTGTAGGTCACTGTAGGTCACTGTAGACCACTGTAGATCACTGTGGTCACCGTGAACCACTGTAGATCACTGTAGACCCCTGTAGACCACTGTAGACCGCTGTAAAACATGTTGGTCACTGTAGACCCTTGTAGACAACTGTAGGTCACTGTAGGTCACTGTAGACCACTGTAGATCACTGTGGTCACCGTGAACCACTGTAGATCACTGTAGACCCCTGTAGACCATTATAGACCCCTGTAGACCACTGTAGACCGCTGTAAAACATGTTGGTCACTGTAGACCCTTGTAGACAACTGTAGGTCACTGTAGACCACTGTATCACTGACTGTAGACGGCTGTAAGTCACTGTAGGTCACTGTAGACCACAGTAGATCACTGTAGAAAACTGTAGACCACTGTAAATCACTGCAGACCACTGCAGATCACAGCAGACCAGATGGTTTAGAGTTTTTAAACCTTAATCACAATTCAGGACATGAAGCACATGGGTAAAATGTGAAGAGTGAGGGACCAAGAAATTGTAATCATAATGAACCAGGAAAAGCGCAATACTCATAATACAATAATAAGAAATAATAGTGATGTTTCTTGAAAAAGTATTTAGTCAGAATATATGGCTATTTCTGAATGACTTTCAGTAGAGAAAGATGCAGTTTACCACCAGAGTCTACCTGACCCATGTTAACTAGCAGCAAAACCACTCTTTTAAACCTTTGGAGTTAACAGGGAATCTCAGATTGATAAGATGTCAGTTTAACATGCATTCTAAATCATTACGTCTTTTAGAGACATCTTCTAAACGTCTATTTGACATCTGACAGGAAACGTCCTACAGACGTCTGGCAGATGAGCAAACACTCTTAAAAATACGTCTTCCAGATGTAAATAGCACATCAAATCACCTTTGGCTAAGCCACGCCCTAGAATGTAGATTGACCAATCACAGCGCAGCCAAGAACGAGCTCCCACAGAGGTCCGACAGTTTTTCACAGCACTCCATTGACTTTCAACACAGGCGGCTCATGTTTTTGGTCTCGGCGGGCTATTACCGTCGTAGTTTTATCCAAAAAATGGTTAAACGTTGTGCCTCGGGCATTTGTAACACAGATACGCGTTTCCCAGAGAGGTTGGAGGGAGGTGCCCGTTTTTTCCCTTCGCAAAACCGAAGTAAAATCCTGACAAGTGTCGTGTTTGGATTAACGTTAAACTGTGTGGACGTCCTCAGTCAGCTAAACCCTGCAAAGATCAACAATCACATCTTTTTTGCTTCTAACCTTACTGTGAGTGTGAAGTTATACTAGTTAGACCATTTTATAATGTTTTAGGTGATGATTTCGGTTCTCATACCGGTTGTTGACACGCTAGCTCACGCTGCTAATAAATACAACATTATACTCGTGTAGTCCGTTTGCTTTGTAATAACGATTATAGAAGTGAATAGAGACCTACCCAGCTTTGCATGAACAGTGTTGCTCCTGATATTGTTAGTCCCAGCCTCCGTCTCCATTAGTAGGATCTGCGGTGGTTCATTTTTTGACTGTGACCGGTAACGTTAACGTTATGCTTTTGCCTCTATTTGGATGCTTTGTTGTTTCTTGTGTTTCACCTGCATGTCTTGAATATATCCTCCGAACGCATATTGCAGCCCCTTTTGCCTACTTCTATCGGACACTTTTGCTGATTTATAAAAGTTTGATAACATTTCAGCAGGAAGAGCTGTCACTGCATAAGCCATGCAGAGCGCAGATGAAGTTTGACGGATGTAGCAACAGTAACTAAGGGGGGCGGGGCTTAGCCAAAGGTGAATTGGCAAAAATGCCAAAACATTGGTTAATCATTAATGCTGCAGCCCACATACCCTTTGATATACCCCACATAGCCCAAGATACCCTTTGAATAAACTTTATTTCAAATACAGTTCTGCTCTTACAATACATGATGTAATTTATTAGACACAAAACCTACTCAATAAACTTGTCATAGATGCATTTTAGGAAACTTAGGTTATTTTAAAGAAGACAATGAGGAGATATGATTGATATAATCTGAAGAATCCCACAAACTTAATGACATGTATTTAATAATAATAATAATAATAATAACTTTAATTTATATAGCGCCTTTCAAAGTACCCAAGGACGCTTAACAAAGGACATGAAATGGGAGGGGGGAGTTAAGGAGGAGGCACGGGGCCGAGGCAGCTAGAGCCCAAAGGCCTCAGTGAAGAGGTGTGTTTTGAGTTGATTTTTGAATGTTGAGAGTGATGAGGCAGAGCGGATCTCGTGGGGAAGTTTGTAATAAGTAATGCTTCTCACTGATTCAAAGTAAAACCCGATTATTGGTGCAAACGCTGCAAAAAAGAAGTATTTCTGTCTTGTTTTCCAGTACAAATATCTAAACATTCTTAATAATAAACATCAGAAAAATAACCATGTTTTCCCTTTGAATTAAGTTTGTTTTTCTGACCCCTTTATCATTATTTGTTCTTCTTTGAACCAAAAAATACAGAGGAAGAGCATTATTTTTGCAGTGTAGCCAACTGAAAAACAACATTTGGCCCTCAGTTGGCCTTTTCAATACCGTCCTCAGAGAAGAAAGCCGTCAGCTCCTTTCCATCAGGAACGTATTTTATGTTCTCAACCTCTCCTCCATAGTTACTGGGCTTCTGGAAGTGGATTTCTAGATGGTCCTGAAGATCTTCTTCATCCATCAGCCCCTGAATTCCCCCCAGAAGCACGGTGCGATTCGGGGCCCCCGAGTACGTCTGCAATGTGACGGCAAACACCATAAATCAAATGCGTGCTCTTCCTCACTGAACACGTTTCTGATGTAGAAAATGAACACGTATGTGTTGTTGAAAACATACTTGAAATTTCTTGAGCTGGTAGTCATACACAGGAAACACGTCAACCACCACATCGCTGCCGGTGTCCACACAAAACTTCCCTCTGAGAGCCAAATTCTCCGCGACTGAAAGTGAAACCAGAAAGGCTGTCATGAAGAACTATAAATCTGACAGATATTAATCTTCATAACTGAGCGGAAACACCACAACACTAAATCAGAGGAAGCATCTGAAAAACCTACAGTGGATGAATTATGATAAAAGTTCAGATCTGTAATGCATGCGTGAGACTTGCACAAGACAACCCGCGTTCACTCTCAGCTCGAGATTCAGGCTCATTTCTTTATTATTTACGTAATCTGCGACTATTTGATTCGACTTAAATGTCCAATTAAAAAAATTCAAAAGTAGTTCAACCTCTAGAACATGATGCATTGTATAAATATGTAGAGTACGTATATTAGGGCTGGGTAATAAATATCGATTTCTCATCGATGATACTCATTTTTACGAACTGATATCGATTCTTAAATCTCAAGAATCGATTAGTCATCCTGTTTCATTTGAATGAATGGAGCATTGTATCGCGGCTGCGCGCATCCAAAAAATCGCAATAATCTTTGTCCTTTGTTACTATTGATATGAAACAAAGTCTCATTTTTCAAATTACGTCCATTTTCTTCAGAAATTCAAAAACATAAATAGCGTTTTGGCGCTGTGGCGTGAGATCGCTCTGGCGCAGCTCTAGAGAAGCAGCCGCGCTGATTTCACTTCCGGGTTAATAATACCAGTCACAGCGCGAAATAAACATGAATGAGCATCTGAAAGTGTGTTAAAGATAGAGTACAACTTATCGAAATCCGTATCATGTCGCATTGATTCGCTCAATCAGCGTTTCAACCGTTAAACAGCTTGTAATCAATGTATCGTCATATTTACCTCAGAAAACCCACATAAACTCGTTAGTCAGCTAGAAAAAATAACTCTAGAGAGGAGCATTTTGCTAAATATAATCACGATATTACATATGCATTATAATCTTAATGTTCTTCAATATTTAATGCATATTTGAATAAATCTGGCACGTTTTTATGACAGCCACCATTTAAATGATTATATTTTATATAATCTTCTTATTATAAAAATAAATAAAAGTGTAATTTAAGTGTGTATAGCTACAAAACAGTTCATTATTACCTTCATATTAGGCTAATGAAGCCTATAGGCTACAACTGACTCCCATAGTTTACAGCATTAGTTAAGAGATTTGATTCCCTTGAGAAAATTTGCCATTTATTGTAACTGATATCCAAAATAATCAATATTGAATCGGAATCGAATTGCAAGCTTGTGAATCGAAATCGAATCGAATTGTGAAATTTGTGTCAATACCCAGCCCTAGTGTATAGTATGGCATTCCTAACACAACTTCTATGATGAACACAAAACACACAATAATATTATAGAAGTTCAAAACAACATCATGATGTGAGAATAAAGACACACCTCCAGTGTTGACGAAAGTTACGCGGCCTGTGCCGTTACTCTTGTTGTACTCCAGTTTTTCCACTTCACCTCCACCTCGGCTGGCTCTAGAGAAGGACAGCTCCAGCCGGTCTCTCATTCGCTCCTCAGGTAAAGTGGGCGGGGCGTTGCGGAACTTGATGGTCTTCTTGGATACCTTGATGTGAACCTGCATGGACCAACAGAAAACATCATCCGGAAACAAATCTGTGATACTAAGGAATGCACGGATATGAACATTTTGGCGGATAATTCTTTATATTTGAAAACCGATAACCGATATATTGGCTATGGAGGCGTATTGCATTCACTTGAAGAAAAAAAAATCTACTCTGTTTTTCTGAATTAACAAGTTAATTATCTCAGAATTACGAGATAATTTTTCATGAGAAAAAAAAAAGTTTTGCTCTGTTTTTCTGAATTAACAAGTTAATTTTTCATGAGAAAAAATGTTTTTGCTCTGTTTTTCTGAATTAACGAGTTAATTTTTCATAGAATTTTTTTTTGTTCAGTTTTTCTGAATTAACGAGAAAGTTTTTGCTCTGTTTTTCTGAATTAACTCGTTAAAGAACAAAAACTTTTTTTCTCATGAAAAATTAACTCGTTAATTTAGAAAAACAGAGCAATTTTTTTTTCTCATGAAAAATTAACTCATTAATTCAGAAAAACAGAGCAAAAACTTTTTTCCATGAAAAATTATCTCGTAATTCGAGATATTTAACTTGTTAATTCAGAAAAACAGAGTAGATTTTTTTTTCTTCAAGTGAATGCAATATGCCTCCGTAATTGGCCGATAAATCTAAATCCAAATTTTAATATAATTTTTGAGAGCCTGATTAAAAAAACACAAGTCTCATCATTAAAATCCATGTCTAGAGCACACAATTATAATGATGTTTTTATTATAATTGTGTAGCCTATGTGACAGACTTGCACTGAACCGTAGCAATTTCAAACATAATAATCCATCATTTATCGGCGGTAATATATCGACCACATTTTTTTATTGTGCCGATAAGGATACCATTAAAAATGAACAGTCGATACTGATACGGTGGCCGATATAATGTGATACAATCCCTCAGTTCAAATCGCTCTACCTCAAACTTCACAGAAGGATCCAGAGTTAAAGAGTATGGCTTCACATCCATCTTGGATTTGTCACAGGTCACCGAGCACTTCGCCAGTCTGAGGATCTGCTCTGCCACTGAAAGACAAACAACAGAGACAGAGTGTCCACATTATGAGAAACATGCACTGAACAAAATTATAAACACAACACTTTTGTTCTTCATGATTCTTTAAACCCAAAAGGCCTATTTCTCTCAAATATTGTTCACAAGTCTAAAGCCCTTAGGCTGGCCTTTTATTGTGTATTGTTATTCACACACACACTATTTTTAATATGAGGGAAGAACAAAACGCTAAACTTAATGTATTTATCTGACATAATGGTTTTAGAAAAACATAAAATCTCACAGAAAAATCAAGTAGCAAAGTTAGGAAAACTTCCTACTTGCATCCCTATCTCACTAATAAATATATCACTGTTGTTGATAGATGTTCCTAGAGTATAATCACAGCATGATAAAATCGTTTTTTCTTTTTATGCACATTGGTTATTGAATGATATGCATCAATTCGCACTATTAATGCTTCAAAATATCTATTAGTCTGCACTGAAGGAATCATGTTGCCATTTACATTCATCTTCAATATATTTGTCTATTAAATTGTGTATTTGTGTTTTTATCAGGGCTTTGCAAAAATTAAGTGCGATTAATCGCATCCAAAATAAAAGTCTGTGTTTACACAATATATTTGTGTGTGCTGTATATAAATATTTTGTATATATAAATACAAACACATGCATGTATATATTTAAGAAAATGTGTTATTCATATATAAAATATTTATATTTATATAATATAGATTATGTATTTATATATGAAGAGTTCAGATGCAAAAGCCTCTAAATGCCATTTGAAATTTTCTTCTTTAATGATGATTTTTATCAAACTTGTATATTTAAGTTCAGTAAATTTACTTAAATGGCAATGATAATTACCTATTAATTGTTATTTAAGTGAAATTACTGAACTTAAATATACAAGTTTGATAAAAATCATCATTAAAGAAGAAAATTTCAAATGGCATTTAGAGGCTTTTGCATCTGAACTCTTCATATATAGAATTTAAGCGCAAATAATTCTTAAATATATACATGCATGCATAGGTATTTATATATACAAAATAATTATACACAGCACACACAAATATATTATGTAAACAAAGACTTTTATTTTGGATGCGATTAATCGCAATTAATTTTTGCACAGCCCTAGTTTTTATGTGAAACTTTATGTCGCCATCTTGACCAGGACTCCCTGGAAGAAGAGATTTTATATTTTAATGGGACCTTCCTTGTAAAAGAAAGGATAAATAAACATCCAGCAGAACCCACAACACCAGAATCTCTTACATAAATGGATTAATGAAAATAAAAACAGAAAAAAATGCATAGATCATGAAAAAATGCGATCTTGTCGATCTTACCCTTCTCCTCCTCAAACGTGATGAGAGCCTGGCCGCCCTTCAAGCGAAACGACGGTCTTTGTGTGACCGTGAACACAGACGCCACAAAATCCTCTCTCTCGTCTGCTTCTTCCGCCTCAAGCCCACGAGTAAACTTGACTGTTTTCACTGGGATATGGGCTTGTATCTGCATTCAGAGAGAATGAAGAGTTATTGGTCGGTTACAGACATCACCTTAGATTTTGGGAAAGGACTATATTTGAGTTGAGCACACTTTGAGTTTTAGGGTAAAAAATGTATCAAATAAAGATGTGTAAAGTTTTTTTATTGGCATCGATGATTCCGTGAAGAACCTTTAATTTCCTTGGAACCACTAAGGTTTTTTTAAAGGGTTAGTTCCTATGGAGGAAATATAGGGCCATATATATCTGCAAAATAAAACAATGTTTTGCAAAAAAAAAAAAAAGTTTTGCAAATAAAAAAACATTTTTTTTATTTGCAAAACATATATATTTTTTGCGAAAGACTGTTTTATTTTGCAGATATATATGGCCCTATTTTGACTCCATATAGTTCACCCAAAAATGTATGATGTCATTAATGACTCTTACAAAGATAAACATATCATTTAAGGTGACAGAGATTGATTAGCGGTTCTTGAATAATGTTATTTTCCAGCTAAAGTTAGTTTTGATTGATTCACTTCCGCCGAAATGATCATTTGTCATTAAATTAAATTCTCTCTAAACAGACTTGAACCCGTGATAAACGCTGATGGCGTTCACATACGCATTACGAATTGATCCTATAGTTATGTGCGTTTGAATATATGGGTTTGTAATTCCCTACAAACCTAAACAAACTACTTGTCTTGCCTATAAATTTTGATACAGTAGTAGTACTGTATTTTCTTTGATCACTTCGGGGTAGGTACGAGAAACGAAATTTGTTAAAAATTTATTTTGGATAATTTTTAACCCAAAAGCTTTAAATTATCAAGATGTTAATTAATAAAAATAATCCCGTCAAGGGCAACAGTAAAAAACGAAATGTGCACGTTGTAACCCAACCTTGAATTTGCGCTGCAGAGAGTCACTTTCGTCCCTCTTGAGTTGAAGTTTCTTTCGAAAATCGTCACGTTCTCTCTTCAGATCCTGACAGACCCGATCAAGACTCTTCATCTCCTCCTGAAATGATGAAGGATAAACATAAATTCTCATTAGCTTCTTTCAGTTAAGAGTGCTTACCCAGCTAACAATAATATACTCTATACTTTCATTAAAACCTATATGTTAATTGAGTGAAATCATTTAATTAGATGTGTAAGTGTTTCTATGACATATTTTCGATTAAAATATCGGCATTTAAATAGGCTTGTATATAAGTAATATAATTTTACCTTTTTTAGATAAATTTCTTTTTAACTGGTGTTCTGCTTTGTCTGTCTTCGGTTATTCAACTAAATTGTCAAAATAAAACTTTAAATACAATAGCTGATTTAGAATTTCACATTAATGACACTTTAAAATATATAAAGAATTATATCAGAAGTAATTTATACATTGTGTAAAATTGTATCCAGTAGGGGCAGGCTTACCTCTTTTAATATTTGACATGTTGTGGGGCTAAATTAGCAAATGTTTCAATTTATATTTATTTACTTTAATAACTCATTGTCTGATGCATCATCCTGACCTGCACTTGTGCTAAACTTATATCTAAATAGACTAAATATGTTGCTGTTTAGGAGTAAATCCACATCGTCGTTGGAGTTATCTTACCCATGTTAATAGTTAATGTTAATGTTAAGCCTCGAAATTCACCTGTACTTCTTGAACATCTCTATTACATTGGTCAGTCAGTTTTTCTTCAGAATCCATCAATGCCTGAAGTTCTGCCTCGGCTTTTTTCTTTTCGTTGTCAGCTTCAGCTTTTTCCAGCAGCAATCTGGATCTTTCATTATCAGCAGACTCAATGAGATCCTGTGTGGACATAATTAATAATGAAAATGTTCGATATAGATAATTTATGATGAATTGTTCGTGAAGTTTGTGTGTGTTTTTAACCTTGTATTTCAGTAGCTCCGCCTCAGCAGCGATCATCTCGTCGTCCAGGCTGCGAAGCTGTTCATTTTGAACACGATTTTAGACAAGTTTTTTACTAAAGCATTGTAAAATGTTAAGCTGAATTCACATAGAAAACGAAAAAGTGAGTGAAACGGACGTACCTCGCCGTTTAGGTCTTCAGGGTTGTCAGACATGTCTCAAGCGAAATCGAAAGTGGGCTATCTGAGGAAAAAAGATTTAAAGACGATGAGATGCTTGTTGTCCAATGACTAAATTATAAGATATAGATATATTTAGTGAATATTAGTCACCACGTAGGCTATTATTTACTTCACAACTTCCTGATCCCGTCAATTGCCCCGTATTGATCAAAGTCACGTGAGCGAAAACGAAAGTATCTGAGGTAAAAAGACGAACCAAAACACCAAATACTTGTCCAGTGACTAAATGTTCAGATTTATATTCAGTAAATATTATTAGCCGCTTATAATTTACCTCCTAACTTCCTGGTCCCGAACTAGCCTCGTATATTGATAAGAAGTCACGTGATGAGCGAATCCTGAAGTAAAAGCGAAAGGACTTCTTGAACCCCTTCATTTATGATTTGTTGTGATCTTCGTTTGACAATATGCCTGACAGTCACTTATGAGCGTTTTTGTCACAGTTTTGTGACTTTAAAAGAAAGTTAGACTACTTCTCAGCTCTTTGGAGCGCAATTATGGAAGAGAAAAGTCTGATTCTCGAGGGTTTGCCGGATGATTTTGACCGTGTGAAATCAAAAGTTGAGCTTTATTTTAAAAATAAAAGAAGATCCGGTGGAGAGATCGGGGAGATTCGAGAACATCAAGATGATAAACGAAAGGCACTTCTGATTTATATGAGTGAAGACGGTGAGTCTATAGAAACATCATAATCGATAGCTAAATCAATAACAACACTTGGGATGATATTTACTGAACTGAGCTTAATTATTTCCCCCATGGAAAAAATAAAAATAAAGGTAATCGCAATGACAGGCTATCTCTGACTTTTCTACAACATAATTATTATAAACTCGCATGTTTTTAATTAATCTGTAATGCATTTCTTTGTGTTTACTTATTTTATTGTATTGTAGCCTACTTTATTATTAGCCTGTTATTATTATTATTTATGTTATGTAAAACATGATTTGAAATTATCCTATTCATTTGAGCAGAAAAACGAGAGATAGTGCATTCCAGTCTATGAAATTGGGCCACAAATGCATAGAAATGTTGTATTTTTTCATACAGCGGAATAAGGAAGAAGAGAAAGAATGCAGCGTCTGAAAAGAGCTGTCATAGATCTGGCATGTCACGTTTAAACACCAAGTTACACGTTATTCTTCTGAAAATAGTAAATCAAGGAAATTTGTAGTTAATTCAGTCAAACTGATTGATTTGTATATTTGTTGTTGTAGAGCAGCCTTATGATTTTAAATGATTGTTGTTGTTTTCTTTTTGTGTGGAACTTCCCCAAACCGGAAGTCCCTCCCATAATCTTAAACGTAGGCTCGTGTTTTTATGGCAAAGAAGCAATAAGGGGAAAGGGGGAATATTGTGGGATATTGGATTAAGAATGTTTCTTTTTTTATTCAATGTTACATAGAGGATTTACTTTATATTTGTTAGGAATCCCAGATATAAACTTTGAGATAAAAATTCTGAGATAAAAACACGCAATTGTTAGAAAACAGTAAGAATTGTGAGATAAAAAGTCACAATTATATATTTTTTATTCAGTGGCCCAAACAACCTTCCAGCTTCCAGCTCAAAAAAAAAAAAAAAAACTTTCCACGACGTTACATAACATACATGATTAAAAATAGAACTGAAATTGTTTGGAAAATGAATGAATTTTACAGAGAATTCCTCTGTTTTCCAGATCTGAAGAAGGTGCTTGACAAAAGAATCCATAAAGTTGATTTCAGATCTATGGGAACAGTTGAAGTGACAGTGAAACGACCAGAAGACACGAAAAGCAAAAAGATCAAACCACAAGTTCTGCCAAAACCCAAGCTGGAGAAAAGCGCTCTCCTCAAGTCACTGCCCACTCCTGCAAACCAGGTGATTCTGTTGTCTGTTATTATTTATGAATTATTATCAATAAAACATTTGCATTACATTTAATCACTTATCCAAAGCGACAGAGCAATAGAAGCAATCGAACCAACAATAGGGCAACAATATGCAAGTGATGTGACTAGTCCCAATTAGTCTTTTTTTATATATATATATACATAGAATAGTAATTCTGGCTGGGATGAAAGGGTAGAGTGTGTTAGTGTAGCAATGATATGAAAAACCATGTTTCTGAATGACAGATCCTAGTAGATGAAGAAGAGAAGTGGTCCAAGCACTGAGCCCTGATGCACTCCAGTAGCTATATGATGCGATATAGACTCACACATTAGACTACGAGTTTCAAAATATCTTGATTCATGCTTTTTTTGAAAGACGAGGAAGCAACGGGACATTTACACAACACTACAGCTTAATATGGGTCCTGATCGTGATTTAAAATATCAAAGAAACAAAAGAGAAATACAGTTAGGGGTGTACACTCTTAGAAGAAAAGGTTCTATATAGAACCTCAAAAGGTTCTATCAACGCTATTTGGAACTCCAAAATGGTTCTATATAGAACCATTTTTTTTGGTAAAAGGCTCTATACACTCTTAAAAAAAGGGTTCCTCTGGGTTCTATATAGAACCCTGGGGTTCCATGCTTGGCCAATAGAACCTTTTACCAAAAAAAATGGTTCTATATAGAACCATTTTGGAGTTCCATATATGAAGCGGGGGATGGAACCATTTTTGGTTCTAAATAGAACCATTTCTTCTAAGAGTGTAACAATACCCTCATGTCACAATTCGATACATATCACGATACTGAACTCACAATATGATATCATTGCGATACTCCAAGACATAAAAGGTTAACAAAACATTTACTGTTGATTAAAATACTAAATGTGATGTACATTGTGTGTGTAAATGAATAGTCTTGGACTTGGTGCTGGAAACCCAAAGCAAAGGACAATAGAGACACCAGAATAACAATATTCATGATTCTGAAGCTGAAATCAGAGAAGGCCGATTTTTACTGGCAACATCAGATATTTTACAAATTTTCCCCCATTGCATTATTGTACATTATATTCAACATTATATATAGTAGTTTAATGTAGTAGTGACACTAAAAATGTCTCGCACAGGGTGAATTATACACAATACATACAGTATCATCACTATCCACGATACTTATTGATGCATTTTTTATTGCGATTTATTGTGACACGATATATTGTGACATGCCTAAATGTGTAATTCGGTGAAGGAGTGACACATTACTGTGATTTAAAACTAGGTCAGATGAATGTTCATATACTCACACACTTCCTCCTTATTGTACAAAGGTCTCTGCAGTAAGACAGCCTGCAACAGACATTAAAGGTTTGACTATAATGCTTTTACTTTTAGTGTTTAAAAATATTCAGATTTCAAAACGTGAACAATAACACCTTGGTCGCATCATGTATATATTTGTTCATACAGACAATGAGAAGGATTCAGAAATACCAGATCTTCTAATAACCACCCCTTCATTAACTTCGGTTGATAAGGAAACACTTCAGATGTATTTTGAGCAATTTACAGAGCAATTTGAGCTAGCGAAGCACGGAAATAACAGCTGGATCCTGAAACTCTACAGCCAATCAGGTATGATGATTTAAGACCTGGGAGTTTCCTTACTAGCCATTCATAATGAAACATGAAACAAGTTTTGCAAGTCTATTTTTGGTGCATCACTTACACACGATGTAGGCCTAATTAGCCCCTGGCCGTCACCACCCTTTTTGATCATTGACATTAAAATGCACTAAACAAACTTAAATGGTTGTAATTCAAGAATGCTTTGGGATATAGACCTTTGGTGTATGTATGTATAGTTTGGTCTTGTTTTAAAGAAAAAAATCAGCAGATTATTACTGAAGTGAAAGCACTTCAAAAAATTAAAGTATGAAAAAGTTATGGAAGTTATAATTTACAGTAAATCAAATATACTTTATTAATATATATTTTTTAATTTAAAATAAATATTTTACAAAATATTTTTTAATTACTATAAAATGAAAGCTATATATCTAACCAAGTTATGTTCCGAATTTTAAGTTGATATCACAAAAATTGAAGTTCCCATGAGATTTTGTTTAGGCGTAGTACCAAAAATAGCCACCGGGTGCCATTGAATTCCATTGAATTTAATTGTATGCATTCTGCCATAAAAAATTAATAAATTTCTATCCAAATATCACTGTTGTCACTAAATATGGAACCTTGAGACTCAGACCTTTCTGACAATATGTGTTTTGTCAAGATTAGAAAAGATTTGCATAATAAATTATGAAAGATGATGCCCAAAAGAGGAGGGGCCTAATAAAAAAAATACAGTTTCTATGGTAACGCAACATCCAATTTCAAAACGGGTTTCATAGGATGAATTCTGAGTTCGTAAGCTTTCAAATGATACCTAATTTATGATAACTACTAAAATATGTGATATAATAATAATAAAAAAAATATTTATATATATCATATATTATACTTTTTAGAGGACTTCTTACCTTACTTTTTAAAATATAATTTTATCTGTTTTTTATTGACAAATACGAATTATGTTTTATAATGAACTTTTAGCACTAAAAAACAAAGTTTCAATTATTAAAAGTGTGTGCGTCGACTTTTTGTGACAAAGGTCAGAAACTCCTGTAATGACGTCGAATTTTTTGAGGCGCACTCTTTCATATATTACTGATCATTCATAATTTGTAAGAAAAAAAAACAGTGCTTAAATATCTATTTAGGAGTCTTAGACCTTTCCAACGATATATAGTTTGTCATGACTAGATTAGGATTTAATAGTAAAGTAAATTTAGATTGCCCGTACACAGGCAAGTGACAGTTAAGAAAATTTAATGCCATTAAAAAAGCAAATCATGATGATTAGTTGTCATCTTTGAGATCAAAATTAACAATGTTGACCCTTTTCTCAGACTTCAAGAAGATTTTTGGCAAGGAAGAGCATGATATTGGTGTATCTTTACAAGTGTATAATGAAGGAGGTCTGGGAGAGAAGTCAGACCCCCGTCGCTTCATCTTGACGGGGTTTGATGGCGACACAGACTGCAAGAAAATCTCAGTGTTCATTGGCAGCTGTAGCAAGACACCAGAATACACTTGGGAGACACTTGATGAAGATGATAGGATTGTTGTCACCTTCAAACAAGATATCGGTGGGTTTGGATGGAAGTCATTGCACTTTATGGGTGTCTGTTATTGTTATTGGGACGCCTGCTTATTTTCTTTTTTCGTTGGGGTCTACAATGTAGCAAATTAGCTTTATGAAATATTAATAATTAATCATAACTTGTTATAATTGATTATGAATATTTGGATCAGTTAGTCGGTTTAACTTGATGTTGCTACATTAACATTACAACCAATTACTCAATTTATCTCGTGAACACTCAATATTGGTTATTGATCAATTAATAGAAATGTACATTTGTAAAGACATGGAAATGAACTCACCTAAGCATAGAATCTGAGCAGTCATGTCATTTTGCTTCTCCAGTAAATGTATCTTGATTTAAGAATGTCTAGACTTCCGTAATAGAAAACAAGACAGAAATACAGAGGAAGAAAATCATTGTTTTGCAGCTCATTTTAGCAGTAATTCCTCTAGCAGTAAAACCTCTACAGTTTGTGCTAAATCTAACCACCTTTCATCTGAAAATGAATCATTAATGACATTAAAAACATTGAGGAATAAAAGCAAAGATTCATCACTACACTCTTAAAAATAAAGGATCTTTATGGTTCAGTGAAGAACCTTTGAACCACTAAAGGTGCTTTAAAGTGGAAAAATGTTCTTTTGAAATGTAAAGAAAAAATGTTCTTTGGGGAACCAAAAAAGGATTACTGTGAAAGCTCCATTTTGCAACCTTTATTATATACACTACCGGTCAAAAGTTTTAGATCCGTAAGATTTTTTTATGTTTTTAAAAGAAGTCTCTTCTGCTCACCAAGGCTGCAATTATTTGATAAAAAATACAAAAAAAACAGTAATATTGTGAAATATCATTACAATTTAAAACAGCGGTTTTCTATGTGAATATATAGTGAAGTGTAATTTATTCCCAGTCTTCAGTGTCACATGATCCTACAGAAATTATTATAATATGAGGCTCAAGAAACATTTATGATTATTATCCATGTTGAAAACAGTTTTTTACATTTTTATTTCAGGATTCTTTGATGAATAGAAAGTTCAAAACAACAGAATTGATCTGAAATGGAAATTAAGCTTTTGTAACATTAATCACTACCATTCAAAAGTTTGGGGTCAGTAAGAATTTATTTTTTATTTTTGGGGAAAAAAATTTAGAAAATGCTTTTATTCATCAAGGATGAGTTAAATTGATCAAAAGTTACAGTAAAGATTATATTTTAAATAAATGCTGTTCTTTTGAACTTTCTATTCATCATAGAATTTTGGGGTGAAAAAATGGTACACGACTGTTTTCAACATTGAAAATAATAATTGATGTTTTTTGAGCATAAAATCAGCATATTAGAATGATTTCTGAAGGATCATGTGACACTGAAAACTGATGTGTAATCAGCAACAGTAATGATGTGGAAAATTCAGCTTTCAAATGACATTTTAAAATAGAAAACAGTCATTTTAAATTATCATAATATTTCACAATACTACTGTTTGTCATTTTTTCATCAAATAAAGCAGCCGAAGAGACTTCATTTAAAAACATAAAAAAATCTTACTGATCTAAAACTTTTGCCCACTAGTGTAATTCTGTAAATGTTAATCAATAGGAAGAAAAGTGACTTACATTTGACACCATCTTCTGTCTCCATGCTCCACCGTTGTGTTTTATATTCTCATTATATTCTCAGCAACTTTGATCAATACAAGTAATGTTAGACTGTAATCAATTAATACGTAAATAATCTCATCCGGGGCACCAAATGTGCACATAGTCAACATTAAAAACAGATGTTCACACTTCACTGTTTTACACTATTTTGACTAGTTCATTTTTCTTCCTTTTTCATTTTATCAACAGACGTGAAATCCTTCATAAGAAAATGCACCTCAAAGCAACTGCAGGGCCGAGACATCGGAGTGACGCGCATGGAGCGGACGGACTCGATCCTGGTCCAGGGAGATCTGGAGAAGATCAGTGAAGACATCCTCACCCTGTACTTCAGCAACAAGAAGAAGAGCCGAGGAGGAGATATCCAGAACTTCATCTGGATCAACAGACGGATGAGCGCCGTCATCACCTTTGGGAACTGTGACGGTAGGTTTTCAGATTAGCTGCAATAATGAAATCTTCGTTCAACACAGTACACCGCAAAAATATATAGGGATGCACGATAAATCGGCCAACGTATCGGTATAGGCCGATATATGTTCATTTTTAATGTTATTGTTGTCGGCGCAATTAAAAAAATGTGGCTGAGTGACAATTAATCGCATTCAAAATAGAAGTTTGTGTTTACATAATATATGTGTGTGTGCTGTGAATAATTATTTTGCTGTGCAAAGATTAATTGCGATTAATCACATCCAAAAAAGAAGTTTGTGTTTACATAATATATGTGTGTGTGCTGTGTTTAATTATTTTGTATATATAAATACACACACACACACACATATATATATATATATATACACATATATATATATATATATATATATATATATATATTAGGGCTGTGCAAAAATTAATTGCGATTAGTCGCATCCAAAATAAAAGTCTGTGTTTACATTACATATATTTATATATGCTGGTGTGTGGTGAGCGTTCTGGCGCAATATGGCTGCCGTCGCATCATCCAGGTGGATGCTGCACATTGGTGGTGGTTGAGGAGATCCCCCCCCTCTATGTGAAGCGCTTTGAGTTTCCAGAAAAAAAAGCGCTATATATATAAATGTAATGAATTATTATATATTTGTGTGCGCTGTATATAATTATTTTGTATATATAAATACCTATGCATGCATGTATATATTTAAGAATTATTTGCGCTTAAATTCTGTATATATATATATATATATATATATATACAAAATCTATATTATATAAATATAAATATTTTATATATGAATAACAAACTTCTTAAATTTATACATGCATGTGTGTGTATTTATATATACAAAATAATTATATACAGCACACACAAATATATTATGTAAACACAGACTTTTATTTTGGATGCGATTAATCGCAATTAATTTTGGCACAGCCCTAATATATATATATATATATATAAATATTCATCTTTAATATTAATATTAATAATTTAATATTTAATAAAATATAAAGATTTATTAATCTTTGCACAGCCCTAATATAAATATCAATATATTATATATAAATAACAAATTTTTCTTAAATATATACATGCATGTGTGTGTATTTATATAGAGAAAATAATTATACACAGCACACACACATATATTATGTAAACACCAACTTTTATTTTGGATGAGATTAATCGTTGCCCAGCACTATTATATATACATTAAAGCCGATAAATAATAGATTATTTCCTTCAGCTGAGACACTTCACTGTTCGACATGATGGTTTTGAATTGCTTGAAATATGATTGAAATCACTATAAAAAAGGGAAAATACATTTAAGTGCTGTTAGGGGTGAACAGTTGAACACCCAGAAGCAGATATGGCGAATGAAGACCCGGGGTCATAATTATAATACATTAAAGAAAAGTTTAACTGAAGATAGTTTGCAGTTTAATCAGCAAAAGTCAGCTTTAAGACTCCCACGGGAATTCGTAGGCCGCCCACACACACACACACACACACACACACACACAGCCAGCAGTTATACTCTTCACCAAGGTCTAAGCTACGTCCATGCTTCAGGATGAATGATTCTCATTGGCTAAGAAATAGATAAACATAGTAATTTTCCACAGATATACAGATAAACTGACACATATCTCCATCGAATATGCAACACAACTTAGGCACGTCGTGACCTTCGCGGTCGCAGATTTGGGTTGCTGGACGCGAGTATGTCCAGAACAACAACTCAATCTCCAATAATGCCAGCGGTTCCTTAACCTCTCACCAAAAGGACTAACACACACACACCGACACACAGCTTTTCCAAGGCTGGATTTGGCCAGGCTCTATCTATAAACAGGAGAGTTTTCTCAAAACATCAAGTTAATACATTCTTTCTCTCAAGGAGAGCTACGCTTTAGAAAGGCTTTAACAAAAAAACTGTCCCTTAAACTATTGGCTTCAATGTCTCACGGGAATTCGTACGAATCGGTCGTGAGATTGTGTTGGTTTTAACACTTTGAAGGCCTTTCTCAAACACAAAACAAGTCCATATTTCATTTTCATTCACATATCAAACACAGACATTGGAGAATACATGAAAAGAACATTTCAGTACCGTCCGTCACACTGGTAACTTCAAGAACAAAGTAAAATCTTACATATATTTTAACTCATGATATTTAGAAGGAAAAATATTGATCAATACCTTGATTATAATCACTCATTACATATTAAAGCAGCAGTCAATTCCAACATGCGCATCACAAATCTGTCATTTATGCTATAAAATCAACTACCGTATAAAAGAACAGCATTATGGGACATGGATTTTAATGGAATAAATACTGTAACAAATGTATTGCTTATTGTTAACTAAATGAACATTATTGTATTTTTATTAACTAACATTAACCCCTTGACTGTCACCATTATATTTTTAAAACAATCCAAGAAAAGATCTTAAGTAATATTGACAAACTATATATCATTTGAAAGCTTACAATCTCTAGTTTCCATATTTGGTGACTGATTACAGAGGAGCCATAATTTATCAATTTGCAACAAGAATATTTTCCTACTCCTAAGGCGTGTTCAGACTTTTATTTTGAAATAGTAATGAACATGAAAAATCATGAAAAAAAGTTAGAAACCTCTGTTTGTTTTCATGCGAAGAGTTCAAAAAATTGCATCCATTCAATTATGTTAGGTCTGAAAATGTTTTAAATGTAAAGAAAAATTAATAAATTCACCATTTGTGATGTGGCAGCAAGCTATAACGCACATGTGTGTTCTTTGTATGTGTTTCTTAGAGGTTGAATTCATATCAAAATCTGCCAAACTTCCCATACTACTTCTGAATAGGATCTCTACTTCATAAATTGTATGAAAATAATGGTTCAGATCACTCAAAACACATATGGAAATGGAGGCGCCCTTATATGGGCAGTAATGGAGTCTGGTTGTGCCCTAGTGGAAGCGTTCGGTACTGCGCCCAAACAAAATCTCACAGAAAGCTCATTTTTTGAGATATCAACCTAAAATTTTAAACACAGCTTGTTCAGATTTTTGGCTTTGATTTTTCTCCAGTTTTGGAGTAGCCCAGGTTTTGAAAATATATATTTTATATAAAATATGAATCATTATTTGTATAACTCAAACTTCTAGAACTTTTTTTCTTTTTCACTTTGTTAATTTATTTCACTTCTACAAAAACCTGCCAAATGTCTTCTTTAAAACGAGACCAATCTTGCATCTATCTTCCAAAGCATTCTTGAATTACAACCATTTAAGTTCGAAATGTGCATTTCCGGGGGGGGGGGGCAGTTAACAAGTTAACAAAGATTTATAAATACAGTAAAAATGTATTGCTCATTGTTAACTAATGAACCTTAATGTAAAGTGTTAGCGAATAATTTGACTGTCTCTTCTATTTTAATAGATGCACATGCAACGGTGGAACAGAAACACAGTGTTTGCGGCACAGACGTTCACGCTTCACTGTTTTACTCGAGTTTGCAAAAGGCTTTAACCGGAGAAAAACACACCCTGACCGACATCACCACAAAAGTCAAAGTTTCGGCCAGCGAAGATCTACTCCGATTCTTCGAAACCAATGAGCGTTGTAGAAAACAACTAGAGAGCGACGCCAAACTGCTTCATGCCAAAGTTCTCATCGACAGTGAAATTATTCTAGAGATGGACGTCAATAAAGAGTCTCTGACCGCCATGCAAATCGCACCAACTTGGGAGTCGAAGATATTGAGAGGAGTCCAGTCGTTTTTGAGTGGATTCGACACAGAAGAGCTGAAAGTAGAGGACGACGTCTGGAGGAAAGTTGAAAAGGACTGTGACGCCCTCGTCACGATTGATGCATCGCTCTCGTTTGAGGAGCGCACCTCTAAAGTCGTAATTTCTGGAGTGAAAGAGCAGGTCAGGATCCTTTCGGATAAAATCAGGATTCTCCTGAAGAACGCCGCGTTTGAGGTCGAAGTGGAAAGAAACACGATCGAAGCAACAATTCAACTAGACTGCATAGAGGCATTCGATCTAATAAAACAGCGCGTACAGTCCAAACTAGGACAGGTGAGTCTATCCCACGATGAGAAACGGCATGTTATCTCCCTCAAAGGTTTGAAGGAGAACGTAAACCCAGTGGAGATGCTCATCAAAAACGCACAGAAGAACATAATCACGCACCGGCTGAAGCTTTCCCCTCATCTGATTGACTTTCTAAACTCGCTGGATCTCCTCAAATTTGAGCAGGACAACCAAATCCCAGCTAGATTGCTAAAGCGAACGGATTTTTTCTGGATTTTGGTCGAGAAGGAAAACCTGAAGGTAGCCGAAGATAAAATCGGTGAGATTCTCAAAGAGGAGGTCATACAGATTTCTCCCGATCAAACCGGTGTGACGCACTACCTCAGGAATCTTCAGGACGAAATCAAAGACATCAGGATCGCACAATCAAACGCGCAGGTTGTAATATGCGGGCTTTCTAACGCAGTCGCGGATGTTGCCGGAAAACTGAGGCGATATCTTGACAACAAGGAACCAACGACTGAAAACGTCCCTCTTAGATCCGTGCGAGAGGTCGAGTTCGTGGACTCGTGCCTTAATCTATCCGATCTCCCTGAATTGAAGCGGCTTGGCGCGTCCGTACTTGCTTACAAAGCGGCGGATTCTCCTTGTGTGAGGGTCACGGCGCCGAAGGAAAACATTAAAGACGCCGCGGACGTCGTACGGCACGAGCTGTCGTCCATAGTCGTGGAGAAGCACAAGTACGGCAAAGCAGGGGAAGCGAAAGTTCTGGAAAAGCACGAAGACAACGTGAAGACCAAAGCCAAGGAGAAGCAATGCAACCTGTATTTATCATCACGACAAGAACACACCGTCGCTCCTCCGAAGAGCTTCACGCACAAAATAGGCGATTTGGTGACTCTGAGCATCGTTGAGGGAGACCTGCACCACTTTACCGCCGACGCGTTGATATGCACGATGAACGGAAATCTCGATTTTAAAAACCCCGCGGCTCAGCGCTTTCTCACGTTTGGAGGCGACGCGATTTCAGAAGTGTGTCAAACTCCCAAGAGGGAAAAGCAGAGCCTGTTACCCGGAGACGTGCTGGTCAGCGATGCCGGCAAACTCAACGCCGAGACGCTAATCTACGCCGTGCTTCCGCAGAAAGGTCAAGCGCTGGACTCGCACTACCTCCAGGCGTCCGTGAGAAACTGTCTCCTGAAAGCCGAGGGAAAGGGATGCGTGTCCGTCGCGATGCCGGCGTTTGGTTGCGAAACCTTCGGATTCTCCGTCAAAGAGAGTTGGGTGGCGATGCGAGCTGCCGTACTGCAGTTCTGCTCCGAGCGTCAGGATTCACGTCAAAATAGCGTTAGAGATATCAGCGTTGTGGATTCGGATGAGAAGATCGTTGAGGAGTACAACGCTCTGATCCGGGAACAAGTATGATCCCCTGCTAATTTACTAACCTAACCTTAAAGGGATACTTATTTGGTTTGTATTAGTAGGAAACCTGTAGTATTTTCGCATTACCACCCTCATATCCCCCTGAGACGAGAGATTTTTTTATTTGGAACACAATTTTGATGATTATTAAGTAGAGCCCGACCGATGAAGGATTTTGAAGGTCGATACCGATACAAATATAATTTTTGGTTTTAAAATCCGATATATCGGTTGATATTTTTTTTATTTCAGAAACGCGAAACAAAACATTAACAGATTTCCCTAACATTAGTTGTTTGTAGTTATTTATGAGTTTTAACTAAAATAATATGATGATGCATTTTAAAAAGAAACGTTTCTTTTATTGTCACAACAGAACAGACTGATGATAGTGGCGTTAGCTAGCTTTGTGGTTAGCTAGTCTATGATGTGCCATAATTTAGCAATGGATAACGTCATACGGCAAATTGTAAAACATACATTTTTAATATAACAGGCCATCCGTCTCATTGCTGTAACTGTCACGCACTATTAAAGAAATACTTCAGTCACATTGTCAAAAGTTAAAAGGACAGTCAGTCAACTACACTGTAACAACGTAACGTAACTATTACTAGCTAATTCCGCTTCACTCTCGGCTTATTTAACAGCAAAACTGGACATGATAGTCACAAATTTTGTCCTGCTTATTTGAGTCAAGAGAACTGATGCGGATGTTCTTTTAATTGTTATTCAAACAATGTATGTCTCGTGACCAACTGTAAAGCGCCCTCTGGTGGACAAACCATACAACTCCAACACTCGTGACATGGTTGAAGCGTGTTTCGTCCGTTTTTATTTTATTTTTGAAGTATTCATTTATTAGCCATCATAACTGCCGATACCGATAGTTTGGAAAATGCCTAATATCGCCCGATAATATCGGTCTCCCGATATATCGGTCTGGCTCAACAAGACTTAATATCTTTAAGTTACATCTCAAGTAAATGTATTTTGATTTAAGAATGTTTGGATATTTTTACTGGAGAACAAGATTTATTTATCCATAATTTTACACCATGTCGTCATCAAAGGCTATATTCAATCATTTAAGAATATTATCTCTACAAACAAATAAAACAACAAAAAAATTAATAATATTAATATATAACGAATATTTTGCCAGAACAAACCTGTGTGGCCTAATATCATTTAAAGCAGGAAATTCCAATAAAATATGCAAGGAACACTCACAAAAATCATATAACGGCTTTCCATAGATAGTCTATTGTGTGACCAATTTGACATCTCGCATGTGTGGTCATTTCTATTCTCTAAATGGTTTGGACTTTCATTTATAACTGGATTCACTTCATATAATTTGTTATGGAGACTTTTTGGAAATGTACAAACTCGGTATGGGTTTAATCCAGGAAAACAAGACTAAAATACTAAGGAAGAGAATCATTATCATTTTTCATCCTTTTCTTGTATTGATCACCTACTGTATATTTTATTATTAACAGGGATTTCCTGACATCCCACTTCAATCCCGGAAGGTTAAATACGGATCAGACAAAAGAGGTACCATAAATTAGTATAAACATATTTTGTATGCATGTCTTCTTGCAAGGTCATGGGTTCGATTGCAGGAACTAATACAATGTGTACCTTAAACGCATTGGATAAAAGCATCTGCCGAATTCATACATGTAAATTTACTTCTGGACTTGGAATTGCTTATGTACTTTTCTTTTCACATGACTGGGAATTCAATCAGTGCGGATCAATGGTGTGCCAATATGCCTGAAGAAGGGTGACATCACCAAAGAAACAGTGGATGTCATAGTGAATTCATCCAACCAAAGTTTAGATCTTAACACCGGTAAGTGTTTCTTTGCTAGCATCGATACTAAACAGACTTGCATCATTATCATCATCATCATCATCGCACTTTTACCTATCATGCAGTGTTTTCCACTCTTGTTTCCATCATCATTTTACAGGCGTTTCTGGTGCCATCTTAAAAGCTGCAGGAAAATCTGTTGTTGATGAGTGCAAAAAGCTAGGTATCATCATAATGGCACTGAATATTGAGTAATGCTTGTATTATAATGGCAGTGACTTCATTCAGACCTGTGTTTGTACTGTAGCTCCTCTGAAAGCAGGTTCAGCCGTGATGACGAGCGCCGGAGCGCTTCGGTGTAAGAACATCGCTCAGATGGTCGGGCCGGCCAACGTCGCAGACGTCACAGCCTCTCTGGGAAAGGTTTTGAACCTCTGTGAGGGAAAGATGGCCACAACTCTGGCCATTCCTGCCATTGGAACAGGCATGAGAACAAACATAATGTTTGAAATCTGCAAATATTAATTTTTAGAGCAATTATGAAAGCCCATTTCTGCCACCTAGGGTAAAAATTATGCTTTGGTAAATCATAATTATGACAAAATGTCATAAAAAGTTGAAATTATGACATAATAAGTATACTAATTGACATTATGATGCATGTACTAAGTTATAATTTTGGCTTTTTATCTCATAATTGACAAAATGTCATAATTATGTGATCACTGTCATATATTCTAATATTTTGCACGGAGAAACCTTTTAAAAAAATGGCTTTCTGAAAAAAAAAAGCCTAATATCATTTAAAGCAGGAAATTACAATAAATATACATGGGTGAGTCTTGTGTGACCAATTCGACATCTCGCATATCTGGTAATTTCTAATATTAATATGTCATAATTATGAGATAAAAATTATCATACGTCAATATGAGTCATAATTATGACATACTTAGTTATAATTATAAGATAAAACATCGAAATTATGACATAAAGACATTATACTAAGTCAATTCAAAATTCTTACAAAAGTCACAATTATGAGATACTGACAATGACTCATAAAAAGCCTTTTATGACTTTTATCTCAAAATTATGAAAGAAATCATAATAATGACATGCATGACATACGTATAATGTCATTATGAGATATAAAGTCATAATTAAGGCATGCTGAGTCATAATTATGAGATAAATTGTTAAAATTAACAGTAAAAGCTAACATAAATAATAATTATGATGGTCAAATTAAGACATTAAGTCATATTTCTATTGTAATAAGTCAAAATTTTGACTGTTTATCTCATTATGACAAAAAGTCATTATGTTAGTCAAAATTATGACAAAAAGTCATGAGATGAAGATAAAAATAAGACATAAGTCATAACTATGATGTACTAAGTAAAAATTGAAAATTGAGAATTTTTCTAAGGCTTTGCAAAAATTAATTGTGATTAATCACATCCAAAATAAAAGTCTGTGTTTACATAATATATTTGCGTGTGCTGTATATAATTATTTTGTGTATATAAATACCTATGCCTTCATGTATATATTTAAGAATTATTTGCGCTTAAATTCTGTATATATATATATATATAAATACATAATCTATATTATATAAATATAAATATTTTATATATGAATAACACATTTTCTTAAATATATACGTGCATGTGTGTGTATTTATATATAAAAAATAATTATATACAGCACACACAAATATATTATGTAAACACAGACTTTTATTTTGGATGCGATTAATCGCAATTAATTTTTGCACAGCCCTACTTTTTTCTTATAATTATGACTAATGATATTTTAAAATGCCACAATAATAATTTACGAAAGCATGTCGAGGGTCTTCCATAAGAAATATCAAGTCCTGAGCAATAGTCTTGTTTTCCACAGGACGAGCGGCTTTGAACCGAGGGAATCCATCAAAGCCATCTTCACCGCAATCGAGAAACATCTGAAGGAGCCGAACTCCTCCTGCTTCCGGAGCATCACCATCGTGGCCTACGAGCAGGATCAGAAGACCTTCGATGACTTCCGGGAATACTTTAAAAGTGGAACAAGGTTAATACTAACAAATCAACAAAAACAGTTTCCAAAAAACAATTTCTTTTTCATCATATTCAGTTTGTTCAATTTGTTTTCCTGCAGCCTGCATGCAACAAGATGCCCGAAAATCAAGGTTCCACAACCTCCTCATGCTTATTTAGCAAATAAATATGGTTTCAATGTAATAGTTTGGCATTTCAGACTTTCTCGTTCCTCTATAGTCAAATCGGGGCGTCAGAATTGAGGTGAAGAAAGGGGACATCACTACAGAAACTGTCCGAGGGATCGTGAACACCACCAACAGAGACATGAGCCTGAGAGGAGGTCAAATATAACTCAAAATACACAACACTTTCATATGAACACATCATTTACTCTGAAATAAGCCATAGATCTATCAGGGTTTGATTCTCGTTATTACACTGTTCCTCGTTTACGAAACAATCGACAGTTAAATGCTCAGAACAAAACATATAGTATCAAATAATATCACAGTTTTTGGAGCTTGATTAAATAAAATTAGGGCTGTGCAAAAATGAATTGCGATTAATCGCATCCAAAATAAAAGTCTGTGTTTACATAATATTATTTCGTATATATAAATACAAACACATGCATGTATATATTTTAAGAAAATGTGTTATTCATATGTAAATATTTATATTTATATAAAATAAATTATGTATTTATATATATATACAGAATTTAAGCCCAAATAATTCTTAAATATATACATGCATGCATAGGTATTTATATATACAAAATAATTATATACAGCACACACAAATATATTATGTAAACACAGACTTTTATTTTGGATGCGATTAATCGCAATTAATTTTGCACAGCCCTAATTAAAATAAAATAAAATGAAACTTGCAGGATGTTTTAATGGTACAAAGACCTCTGATATGGCATATTTAATTTATCATGACTCATTTAAATCTTCACGCTAATGGTTTAAAATGATAAGTTCATAATATAATAAGAAACAAATCATGGACTCTATTTGCTGTCATTGTCCTGGACTCTCTTTGCTCGCGGTTTAAATGGCTAAAAATGCAAAAAATGATTTTTCTTACTCAGTATTTTAGTCTTGTTTCCAGTCCAAATATCTAAAAATTCTTAAATCAAGACGCATTTACTAGAGGAGTAAAATGA